ATTAGGATCCTAATTATGTCATCAAAAAATTCTACCAGTATTGTCAGCTTTCAGTGTAGTGAGGTAGTTCCTGTAGGTTGTGGGGTGGCGTCCAGGATTTAACTAATGTTTCTGCTGTTTTCTCACTTTTCCTTCTGATGGTGCGGAAAGAGAAAAGGAGACGGGGCACAGGCCACTCACCGCCTTCTCCAGGGTCTGATTTGCTGAGACACCAGCTGCACCTTCTTAACAAGGTTATTTCTGACAGCATGTGTAGATAAACATTTAGCAACAGTTTAAATCAAAATCATGTCAATCAGTTTGGTTTTGCGACACAAAAGGTTTAGTAACTTTTTTAACATGGTAGAGAATTTTCAGAAATGTAATCTTTTCTGTTTGGGTGGTAAAATCAATGCTTGTCTCCCTGAGGAGTGTGGAAAACAATCAGGTTTTTAGAGGTTAACATACGATTTTAAAATTGTAAATGGGATTTTTTTATTCACCCAGGCACCTAAGCACAACACGCATGCACGTTTTGGTGCACTCAAGAATGGAAACTCAGAGTAGCGGCCTCCTTCTGGTGGGTTTTGCTCCATTTAAAGGCATGAAATGACCTGCAGCCCGGAAGGTGCAGATGCTATCCTAGGCCAGCTCTGACTCTGTGCCCCCCTCTCCGTGTGGTTTAGCCCTAAGCCGACGTGAACGCCAGGCGTGCTCGTCCTCAGGCGGTGAGGCCTTGTAAGCAAGGCTCACGGTGCAGCTCTCCTGCCGGAACTAAACGTAGCGATTTCCCACCATGTTCGCTCTGGCGGACAGATAGATGCTGCACAGTCGAGTGTTTCCCACTGATTGTCACTCAAAATAGTTAACATTTGTATGTTTCTGGTGACTTTTCATGGCTTCGTTTTGTATACTTATTTAAGTAAGCTAACTTCCACTAGAAACAGTTCATCTTATGCCTTCAAAACTGTTACGCGTTCTTTAAAAAAAAAAAAACAAAGTTGCTTGTTACTTGTTCTTTGTGTTGTAGGTGCAGCTCAGTGGAAGATGATGCCACCAGAAGACATGAGCTAAGGTTTCTGTCCTATAAAAGATTTAAGAAAAAAGAACCCTCCATTTAATTTCTGTCTGGTTTTTCCGTTTCCAGCATGATGATGTAGGGTGCATTGCTGTTTTGGTACTGAGAGTAGTGCTCCCGTGTTCATTGTTAAGTGCTCACTCATCATGCTTCCTGCCCCTGCCCCCGCCCTCCCCCGGAGTGAAAGGAGGTGCCAGACCTAGCAGTGTTAGTGTGGACGGGGAGCGCCCGCGTAGTACATGGCTGTCAGAGTCGGTCCCTGCAGACTGCTAGAAAAACCACAGCCGCCAAGAGCGTCCATCCGGAGGCAGCCTTCCACTGCGGGGGGCGTGCTTCTTGGCCGATGCCCAGGGATAGAAAGAAGGCCTCAGTGCTACTCAGCTCCCGGGGGCCCTGCCGTGGTCCTCAGGGGGAGTGAGAGGGGCATCCCCTAGGTCGCTGGTGTTCCGGACTCGGCACTCCTGCGTTTCCTCCGTGAGCGGGCTGGGTCCTCACCCACGGAGCGGTATGGGAGCCCGCGGTCTCCAGTGGAGACCTGGGGCTCCGCGAGTCCTCGGAGCGGCGCCAGGCGGCGGGCGGGCCCCCAAGGCGGGGCGTGCCTGTGTTGCCACTCTGCCGTTTCTCTCAGGAATGTTTGGCTTTATTTCACGGTGTGGCCAAAACAGTATCAAGTGATTGTGAGACTTGAGGGTCTGTAAGTCCTAGAACGTGACCCACAGAGCGTAGTTTTCTCTGCAGTTGGCGGAGTGGTGCTACACGTCTTAGGATCATTCTTCGGGTAGACCTGTTGGCCTCCAAGGCTAAATAAACCTTAGGACCCTCCCAGCATGAGCTCATCCTCAGTTCTTATTAATAGCATCCTTCTTTATTCCCCAATGCCTGTTTCATTCCACTCTTTTTCTCAAAATAATTTTTGTGTTAAAAAACACTTTTTTTATCACTGTAATTACCACTTTCTTTCCCTGAGACATACTCAGGACATGTCTTTGGTATGTGGTGGAGGCAGTGAGCTGTGACTTGTCCTGGGGTGCACGCCGCCTCCTTTCCACCTGTAGTTTATCGTGGTTTCATAGTGGACCTCTAGCTAGCTGGGGAGAAAGAATCTCTGCAGCAGGAATCCTGTGTCTTCAGATGCAGGTCAAGCAGTTGAGGATTTCCCTTCTAAATACTGAGATAGGAAAGAAGCCAGATGTCTCACGTACAGTCACTTAGTTAGGACAGCTTCCTGAAGTGCTTTCTTTTTCATAGCATCCTAGTTCAGATGTGAATTTTTATAGAAGCGTTCACTACAAATTCATTTGTTTTTTTATGTCAATTAATGTGCACCAAATTGACTTTTAAAATGCTTTCCGGTTACTTTGATAGATTTCATCATCGTGGCATCTTTCTCTTCTCCTTCCACATGTAGGGTAAGGGACTGTTCTTCTGAAGAATCTTTCCATTTAGTGATCAAGATACGGAAGCTGACCTCTGAAAATGCTCAATATGTATCCTAATTATTCCCAGTGTCCTTTGAGTTGTAACTTGCATTTCAGCAGCAATGTTCCCAATTGACCTACTAGGAAAATGTAATAAACACGCCTCTTGTTACCCTGCTGCCTCCTGATGTCTCATTGCCTGCGTTTCGTGTCTGACATGTGAAGTGAGGAACACTGTTTCTAACCTGCTGTCTCCCATTGATCTTCATGGACATGCTCGTCACAGAACCCCGGCAGACGTTCCTGTCTCCCGCACCCAACTCCTGCTCCTTGTCTTCCCAAAAGACAGGCTTTACGTTCTTACTGCACACCACATCGCCCGTGCCCGGCACGTGCCTCTGAGAAGTGGGAATACAGATGGTCTATCCTGAATTTCGTCCAGGTCCGAGGCAGCCTAGGGCACCCTCTCTGCCCTCCTGTGTCCTTCTTGCTCTCCTTGATACATTTCCTGAACTTGCCAGGCTCTTAATTACATGAGATAAAAGGCTTCCTGCTCACTTTACAGATTAGGTAAGGGAAGAACAGAGAAGTCAAGGAAACTGCCTGAGGAGTCAGAGCTGTTAGCGGAGCCCGGGTCCGCACGCAGACAGCTGGGCAAGGGGCCAGTGTCCACAGCTGCTGCGGGGACGTCGCAGGCCTGTGTGGAGGCTGAACTCCACGTCTTAGCCAGAGACCTTAAAGGGCATCTGCGACACGCCAGCCAGGACACAGCAGTGAACAGAACGCATGTCCCCGCCGAAGGATTTATGAATGAAAAGGAGATCTTACCGCTCTAAAGGTGAGGGCCTGCCTGAAATGCCAGCAGGTGAAGGTGGCAGGAGTGAGAATGGATAGAGGGTTGGTGTGTAGGTTCAGGACTCAGAACTGTAGGAAAGAAGGAAGCGCTGGTGGGGAAACTGGTCAGAATGGAGCTAAAGCACAAGCCCACTTTGTGAAAATCTGTGGAAAGGCTGTTAGGCCGTTTGGCTCATGATCCTAATTGTGTGGAATTCAAGTAAAAGTCTATTATAAGGGATCCTGAACAATTAGGTTTATTTTTTTTATTACTGTTGTTCCAGAACATTCTTTGAAATTAACCTAAAAACTAAGCATACCCTGGCCCCTGCCTCTAAGTACTATTTGAATCGTGTTCTTTTCCTAATGATACAATGGAGGGAACAAGCAACAGTTGCCTCTTCAACATTCATCCAAGTCGCCCTTTAATCTCCACTCCAATATGCCACCTTACTGGGGGGATGATATGCAAAAACTTCATAGTGACGGCCTTTTTGGAAGGGGTTGGGGGTAGGAAGACGACTTTTCTGTTTTTCCTTTAGGTGATGTTTGAAGTTTTATTCATCAATAATTATTCACCAACCATCCACTAAAACCAAAGCCCGCTGCCCCCTGAGACACCCAGACTCGGCCCAGGCAGGCTGCGCCAGGCTTCCCGCTTTGTGCCGTGTTTTCAAGTGTTCCCAGAGCCACCTGCGTCAAACTCACCCGGGATACTGTTTTCAGAGGGGAGCCCTGGGCCCCTCCCAAAGACCCTCTTTCCACAGGGCTCCAAGAGAAACCAGGACCCTCTTGTTTCCTGATTCTCAAGTGCAGAAAAGGATGTCAGTTACACCTGTGTGCAAAGTCCCTTCAATCCTGTCTGACTCTGCAACCCTGTGGACCATAGCCCGCCAGGTTCCTCTCTCCTTGGAATTCAGGCAAGAATATTGATGAGTGGGTTGCCATTTCCTTCTCCAAGGGATCTTCCCCGCCCAGGGATCAAACCCATGCTTCTTGCGTCTCCTGCAAGGGCAGGCAGGTTCTTTACCACTCGCACCACCTCGTTAATTACAGTGTTTTTTGCCTGGCGACTCCAGCAGTAAAGAATCTTGGGGACAATTCAGTGAATGAGAGATGTGGGCTATTCTGTGATCAGTGACCTTTCCCCGTTTCCCTTCAACAGCCTAAAGCTATCCGATCTGAGGGAAAAAGGTTGTTTCAAGCCTACATCTGTAGCTGGACCTCAGAACTGACCTTGCTATCACGCCTGTGATCAAGGGCCTGGGGAAGGATACGTTTCTGAGGCTTCAAGGAAGGACCCAGAAGATCTTGTATGTTAATAAAATAGCAACTTCTTTAGCTTTTAAAGGCAAAGCAAATGCCCAAAGATTAGGTCAAAGTAACAGACAAGGAGATTTGTGGAGATGAGAAGGGTACCAGTGAGAGGGAAAAAATCACTTAGAAGGACAAATACCACATGATGTCCCTAATATAGTGGAATCTAAAAAAATGATGCACATGAACTTCTTTACAAAACAGACAGACCTACAGACATGGAAAACAAACTTAGGTTACCAGTGGCGGAAGAGAGGGAGGGATGTATGTGGAGTTTGGAACTAATAGATAACACTACTATATATAAAATACATGACCAACAAGGACCTACGGTATAGCACAGGGAAGCTGCATTCAATACCTTGTAGCAATCTATAGTAAAATCTGAAAGAACATAAATATATATACACAACTGAATCATTCTGCTGTACCCCTGAAACACAACACTGCAAGTCAACTCTAACAAAAAAATTACGATTCTTACTACTGTATAATAGAATTTAAAAAAATAATCATACCAGTGATAAGTCTGTTATACCATTTATTGATGATGGAATTACACTGGAAAATAATCACAACAAGAGAACCACCTTGAGTAGCATGGTTTTCCAAGTGAAACATTCCTTAGAAACATAACATGGAGGACACATCATCAGGGAAGCCCTTGGTTTACGTGTAGACGTCTCAGCTGGGACTCTCACGAGCTCCACTCCACAGCACGTTCAGGGATGGTGCGCGCACGTGTGCGTGTATAATACCTGTATCTCGGAATAAGGAACTATATTTTAGCTGGGCTTCTTGGAATAGATTTGCTCATGTTGAGATGCAGGAAAGAAGACAGTTATGTTATTTTTGGTCAGTGGGTGAGCACTTATCCTTAGCTATTAATGAAGGTGATAAACAACAGTTCAGCTTCTGAACACAGAATGGTCTGTTCAGCACTACATCTTTTCGGTAAAGTTTCTTTTTGGACCTTGGTGCCTGAGTCTCTTCCCTGTGACTATCAGGAAAAGACAGAGGTATGGGTGAAATTGGTGTAGGAGACTTTGGTGGCAGACATCTGGCCGAGACCGTTTTAACCAGCAGCTGAGTCGTCTGGACAGAAGCGGGCTTGATTGTGAGTTCTTGGCATGGGTTTAAAACAGAGATTTTGGGGTTCTTAAAGTCATCATGAGCTGCAGTGACCTGTTTTGGGGTGGATGAGGCTTTCAGAGCTGGTCTAGAACTCCACTTGTATTTGCCAGCGCCGTTCCAGTTCCACTTGGAAGCACTGTGTTCAGGCTTGTAAGAACCAGAACTGTTTTTTCTTCTCTCATAACTTTTCTCTACACAAGCCATTTGAAGACCCACCGCGTCAGGCGGTTTGGGCTGTCTTGTTTTGGAGACAGCTTTGGAGGAAGGGGGTCGTTCGGTGACGACCGGGGCACAGAAGGAGGTCTGCAGTCTGGGCCTTTCTCTCTGAATGGTCAGCTGCTGAAGTCTTTCCATGTCCAGCAAACGAGCCATCAGCGGCTCCAGAGAACTGTCCGGAGCCTCCACCATCATTTTCCAACTATCAGATTTTGAGAGGGCCAATTTGTGCAAGTCCAAAGTACTGAAAGGAGGAGGAAGAAAATCAGGATATGGAAATACTTCATTCATTTCCTCTGTGAAAGGTTCTTCAACATTTTCTATTGTTTCTGGCTTTAAGTTCAGGTCCATCTTTTTAAAATAGCTGAGTAGAGTATCATTTGCTTTTTCATTTTCTGATAAATCGCTTTCATCTGTTAAATTTTCCTCCACGCTGCTATTTCCATACTTCAGATTCCAGTTTGGAGCAGTTAAAAGTTCTCCACTGTTGTTTTCTAGAGTTGAGCATAAATGAATATGAGGCTCATTCCTGTCCTTGAAAAAGTCTCCATCAGCATATGTACAGCAGAGACTTACTGGTACCTGCAGCGCGGGGCAGGAGCCAGCCAGCTTGTCCACTGAGGCACTTGTCAGCGGGGGGTTCACACCGAAGAGCCTGATGGGATTATTGGTCATATCACAGCCAGTTCCCACTGAAGATATTTTGAAATCCCTTAAAAGATGATTTATATAATGAGTGGCTGGTTGCCTAGAATTAAAATGCTATCAAAATAATGAATAAGAAACCTTTATCAAAGACTGACTAATGTTTAGCCCCCAATGGCATGTATATCTATCTGTAACAGAAACGTGTTAATTTTCAAATATGCTCTAACTATATACAACTATCTATGTTTTTAAAAGTATAGATTAAAATAATAACTGGGCAGTCCTTTGTACGTGCATAGGTGACTAGACCACTCTACCTACAAGTGGTTAACTGACTATGAATGGCCACAAGGCTACACGTGGCTGATTATAGCTACTTGCCTCTGAATCTACTGTGCATGTAACTATGATGTCTGAGAAGGAGGCTCTCCACCTCAAACTGAAATTACAGTGAGCTGTTTATTGACCCAGAATTAAACAAAAAGGAAACTCTCAAAGAGTGTAGTCAGGTTAAGAAAGGCTTCTACTTGGGTCACTGTGGTTTTTAAAAATGAGTCTAACCAAAAAAGGAAGCAAAACAATCTCTAGCTATAAACAAAAATTATCCCAGATATAGTCTATAGCAATTTTCATCTGACGGTATGCTTTCATTTTAGGGTAATACTTCTAGGTATTATATTCAAATGAAAACTGCAAAAAAGCCAGGCCATAGAATACTGAATTTACAGTTAGTATGTTTTAAACACTTACTAGAAATACTGCCATGAAAAATTTTGATGCATTAATTGACATATATACGGTTGCATTATCTTCTTGCTTCTTTTAAAGCCAACTTACGCTAAAGTCAACAAAGCAGTCTTGAGGGGTTTACAAAAATACAGAAAATGGTAAAAATTTATTCATTTAGCTAAGCACTAGGTTGAATGACTTGCCTCTGAAAAATCACAGGAAAATCACCTTAAATCTATACTTGATAACAGACAATCCATGTAGCAAACAAACAAAAAAAGAGCACAAAATCTCAATGTGGAAGACTGTGGCCGGACTGCTTTGCCACCAGGGAACAAAGTGGAAATTATCCACCCTGGAGGTGGTCTGAGAGGCGAGACAATTAACCGACACACTCTGCAAACTGTTAAACACTCACGTAAGCTGTCACGACTTTTACTCTCTTTGTTGACACTGAGGAGAAACATCTCATTAGCAAAATAATTCTCTGCCTCCAAGCTTCCAACTCCGCAGCATCAGCAGGCCTGGCCAGTACCGGCTGTGAACACCCATCAACTGTGCAGTCCGCCCAGCAGCCCACGAGATCGGCAGTTTCACTGTCTCCCTTGGAGGATCAGGGATGCCTGCCCCAGGCAGGCTGACGGCACACATCCCGTAAGCGGAGGAGCTGGGGTTAGCCCGCGCTCGTGGCCCCAGCCACCGCCCTCTGCCGACTCCATCTGCGTCCTCTAGCTTCACCGAGCTCACCCTGCGAGCTCCTGCTCGTAAAAGCAGCCTTTCTCCCCCGCCGATCAGTACCATCAGGCCGGACGCGAGTCACTACAACCCCCTTCACACCTCCCATCTGCCCCCAGCTTCGGCACGAGGAGGGCCGCGCCCCGAGCGCACGGAGATGCCTCCACCGAGGAACAGCGGCTGCTGGGGCGCCGCCCGACGCTCAGAGCCGGGGACCAGAGGGAAGCCGACTCCGCGACGCCCGCAGACGGACGGGCAGCGGCAAGCGACAAATGGCGGCGCTGCGGCCACGGAAACGCCCCCGTCACTTCGACCGGCCATTTGGAGACGCCTTCCAGCTGGTTCTCACACACACCGAAGAACCAAACAGGAAGAATTCGGACCCCAGAGAGGGTCTGAAGGGAGGAAGGGGGTCTGGGCGCACGAGCCGAGCTTTCCCATCCCGGTTCAGCCTTCCATCGCTTGTCACCAGACCTCCCAACCGGGACCGTCGTGCGGGCTCAGAGCGAACACGGACGCGCTGAAAACCATCCCTGGCACGTGAAGTTCCCCTTTCCCGTTAGGGCCCCGTTCCCTTTGGGCTAGAAGGCCAGCCCCTCCCCACGCGCGCGGCCACTCCCTTTCCCGGGGCTTTCCCCACGGTTTGCACACAGTCCTTTTCGCTTCCGGTTGTTTTTTGGCCTCCCACTTCAACTGAGGGGCGAATCCGTCCGTAGTTACCTTTATCTCACTGAGTTAGGGGTTGACGGTCATGCACACTTCCTCACCTGAGCTCCCCGGTGCTTGCTTCGCTCAGAGGGTAACTCCACAGCTGGAACAGCCCTTGTTTACTGTTCTGAGAAAAACCACGGACAACGTTTTAGTTACTGAGTGCCTTTTTAGAAATAATAACAATACTTTCCAAGTGTGACGGATAGAACCCCACCTGTGTTCTCTGGGGCAGGAACTCTGAGAAAGTGAGCTCCAGTCGGAGCTGGTCTGCTGGAATTTCCAGGTGGTTCTATAAAGCGGCAGAAGACACATAAACACCCGGCATCTCTACTCCCGACTCTTGTTCTGAGAATGTACAGTTCTTGTTCTAACCAAGCAATATGGGCTAGACTCTGATAATTCTCCCTCATACATATTGGTCTGTACTGACCTCAGTAGGACTAGTATAATCCATTTATAAAGATCAACTAAACAATGTTAACTAGTAAGACTTGACTATCATTAAAATTGTCTATTTTATTAACAGTTAACTGTTTTACATTTTGATCAATAAAAGCAAATGAGAAAGATTAATTCTTTCACTACTTCAAAATACAACCATTTCAACTGCCTTAAGGCATCTTAAGAGCTGAGGCCACCTCCCTTCTGGCAGTGACTAGAGCATATTATATTCATTACAGTGTTAATTTCCATTTATAATATTGTTATATTGAAAAAGTGATATAATAAGATATTCACTTCATGACCTATTTGCAGCTTTGTAAAACAGTAAACAAAGGCACTGACTTGTTTGAAGAACTCCATAGAAATAAAATTTAAAGTCTAACTTAAAGGAAAGAAACTTTCTTTAAGGAACACACAATGTCATGTTAATGTGCTGTGAATTATTTAAAACCAAATATTTATCCTTACCTTGTTAATTTTGCCTGTAAGAATGTATATGGAAAAAAAATGACAATTAATAGTTACATAAAACTGGTGATACTCAAAACAAGCCCCCTTTAATATGAGTGGTTTTTCTTATTACACTTAGGGATATAAGTTTTCATATATTTATAAATATAAGCAGACACACCAAGGATTTCTTACCACCTGTGGTGCCATCCCTCACAGGTGGGAGGCTTTTATTTTCAGGAACAGGTACTTCTGCATCCAAATTCCAGGGAGACAAGTTCTAAAACAATATTTGTTTTAGGGTAAACTTAATGTAAGAAAATTTTACAAGCCCAAATACATGATTTTATAGGTCCTTTAGGTAAAATATGACAAAAGGCACCAAGGTCTATGACCCCCACCTCCACCCCATAAGGACACTCAGCATTTCTGAGGAGCGGGAACCGTTCGCCTTAAACTATCATCAGCTGGATAACACCTCAGGAAATGGAAAGGCTTTTACACAAATTGATGGCTTCGTTTCAAAACTGATTTAAAAACATGACAAAGCATCCAGTCCAGTGTGTCCTGGGCACACGATGGCTCATTCACCAGATTTTCTGTATCTGAGTACCAGATCTGAGAGTCTATGAAAGTCTTTCCATCAACAGAACAAAATCCTCTGACCGTCACATACTCCACACTGACTAGCCCGCATCTCATTCCAGACTCCAGATGTTAAGAAACATGCAGGAAAATTTTTTTTTTAAAGGCAAGAAATGAATAAGGAAAGGTACAGCATCTATTGAGGATTCACGTTCCAGACACTGTGCTGACCGCTATGGGGAAAGGCAGGGGTGTGCAGGAGAGGTCTGCAGAAGTTTGTCCTGGAAAAGGGGAAGTGAGGAGGTGGGCAGTTTACTTTAAAAAAAAGTAACAGTTGAGGGCTTCCCTGGAGGCTCAGTGGTGAGGAATCTGCCCGCTAACGCAGGAGACGCGGGATCAGTCCCTGATACTGGAAGATCCCACACGGAGCAACGAAGCCCTCCGACTGTCAAAGCCGCGCTCCGGAGCCTGTAAACCGGAACCACTGCAGCGCGTGCCCAGGGCCCCGGCTCCGAGACAGGGGGCCACCGCCCTGCAAGGAGAGCAGCGCCGCTCGCCCCAGCTAGACAAAGCCTGCAGGCAGCGACAGAGACCCGGGACAGCCAGAGTACACGCAGCAGCAAGGACCGAGGACAGCCAAAATAAGTAAAGAAATACATTTTTAAAAAGTAATATTTGAGGGATGAACTCAGCAGCTTTGTTATCTCAAATGAGAAAACCCTTTGTAAACTACACTTTAAGCAACATTCACACCAATGAAATGTCAGGTAGTGTTAGGTCATCATCACCGCGCTAAGGAGAAGGAGGGACAAAGCAGCTTAAATACAGGAAGAGAACTTAGCTGACCCACAAGGAAGTTACCTCCTGGCAGGAAGGAGAGCTGGCCTTTGGAAGGTGGGCCTTGGTTTATCTTTTCCTAGAGGCTTTTATTTACAAAAAAAAAGTTAATAAAATTCTTTGTTCTCTGAGAGAACGTGCTTTGGATCTAGTCTCCGCATGAGAATCACCAGGGGTGGTCTTTAAAAATAACAGTTGAGGGCTTCCCTGGTGGTCTAGTGGTTAAGAATCTGCCTGCTAAGGCAGGGGGCACCAGTTCGGTCCTCTGCTGGGGAAGGCTCCACAGGCTGCGGAGCAGCTAAGCCCGAGCGCCGCAGCTATGAGCCCGAGCCCCAGAGCCCGCAAACTGCAACTCCCAGGCCCGTGGGCCACTAGAGCCTGCACTCCGCAACCAGAGAAGCCAGCACAGTGAGACGCCCGCACGCAAGCAGAGCGGGCCCCTCTTACCGCCAGCTGAGCAAGCCCACGCGCGGCAAGGAAGACCCAGCACGGCCAAAAAGAAATAAGTAAATACACGCAATTTAAAAAAAATAGTTGAAAAACACAGATTCTGATCGAGTAGGATGAGGCCAGACACTTGTATTTTTAGAGCCTCCTGACGGATTCTCAAGCTTCTCTGGGCTCTGTAATCCTGGTTCCCTAAGGTACAAAACAACCTGTGAGAGGAACAGCCCTACAGTAACACGATGAAGGGCAGCTGATGAACACTGCGCCGCTGAGCTCACAGCATAGAAGGAAGCAAAGGCATCCGCTGAGCTCACAGCATAGAAGGAAGCAAAGGCATCCGCTGAGCTCACAGCAGAGAAGGAAGCAAAGGCATCCGCTGAGCTCACAGCATAGAAGGAAGCAGTCACCAGGTAAGGAAGGCCGGCAGCTGCCACGACATCCGCCACGTTGTAAACTCCCTGCAGGTGGTAACTGGGCCCTCCTAGATGATATTCCACCTGCCGCCAATATTTTTCAGAAAACATGTAAAGATATTAAACAGGTAAGCACTGTGGATGAATCAAGGTGGCATGTTTCACGAAATCCAATTGCAATCAGAAATGTTTGGAGACTTGCAGAGAAGCTGNAGAGCAAACGGGGAGACCTAAGTGACAGAAGACGGAAACGAAGGTTTCCGAGAAGGGAGCTACTATCAGATCGGAAGATTAAAACACAAGCTAAAATTGTCTGGAATTAAGACACAGGGTCGAGCAGTCTGCTTTTCAGCATTTAAGCCAGGGGCCCCGATGGAAAGCAGGATCCACCTTCCGCACGGGCAGGGCAGATCCCCCGCGCCCCCACCCCGCCAAGTGTCTCAGATCGGCCGAAAGGCCTGTTTCCCACCCCAAACGACCCTGGTCCCGGGCCACCGCGGCTCGAGGCAGAGCCTGCGGGCGCAGCAAGCGTCACGGCGTTGCCGAGGCGGATTAAGGCGCGGGTTCGGACTCGCTGCAAAAACACAGACGGTTGCTACCGCGGAGAGCAGGGCTCTCGCCGGGCGTCTACGGCCGTCGGTCCCGGAGGGACGCCGCTCGGGGACGCTCGGCGCCCGGGGAGCCGACAGGCGGGGGCGACGGGGCGGACCGGGGCAGGCGCGCCGAGGCGGGGGCTCCCGGCCTCTGAACTGGGGCGGGAGGGGAGGGGAGGGGAGGGGGGCGTCCGGCCGCCCCGGCCGTCACTTACCGCTCGGCGCCGCTGGCCCCCGGCTCGTCCCCGGCCGCGTCTCCGCGCGCGCTGCCGCCCGGGCGCCCCAGCCTCTCCGCGCGCCCGGCCTCCGGCTCGGCCGGCCTGCGGGGAGGACAGAGGCAGCGCCCCGTGGCACGCCGACCACCGCTCAGACCTTGGCCGCGGCCGCCACCGACCCTGCCCGCGACCTTGACCCTGACCCCTACCCGGCCTCCCGCCGGACCCTGCACCAGGTCCAGGCTCCATCCTTGACTTCCAGCCCGGCCCCGCCCCCCGGCCGCAGACCCGCAGCGTGACCGCACCCCCAACCCAGGACCCAGACCCGGCGTCCGATCCCGCCCGCGACCCCGCCGCGCCCGCCGGCCCGCTCCCTCCTCCTAGACCCCGATTTGGGTTTGTAGCAGGATTTGCTTTCAATTCGTTGCTCACCTGTTGCATCAGAGTTACTCATTTACAATTTCTCACTGGCTACCTTCTTAAACACCTCCAAGGCGAGACCTGGCCTTTCTCTGAGTGACAGAGTGCCTGGCATAATAGACAGTCCATACGCGTTTGGGTTAAATTACCCCCAAGATGAAATCCTTTTGTATGGTGTGGTTACTATGTTCAGGCCTACTGCCGAACATTTCATAGAGATTAACCAGTGTAATACTCAACAGCCCAGGGAGGGTGGTACTTCTAGTGATTCCTGTTTTATAAATGAGTAACCTGGTAGGTGTTGCGAGAGGGCATCACAGAACAGAAACTCTAAGACCATAATCACAGAAAACTGGCCAATNTGAAGCTGAAACTCCAATACTTTGGCCACCTCATGCGAAGAGTTGACTCATTGGAAAAGACCCTGATGCTGGGAGGGATTGGGGGCAGGAGGAGAAGGGGACGACAGAGGATGAGATGGCTGGATGGCATCACCGACTCGATGGACATGGGTTTGAGTAAACTCCAGGAGTTGGTGATGGGCAGGAAGGCCTGGCATGCATGGGGTCGCAAAGAGTTGGACACAACTGAGTGACTGAACTGAACTGAACTGAACTGAACCTGGCCTTACATTTCCCAACTTAACAATTACTTGAAAAATAGTGACCTCATGTGGGGGTCCACGTATTCCTAGCTAACACTGGCTAATGTATTTAAGTGGGAAAGAGTTTTCTATTCTCTGGCTGGAAGACAGAAATAATGCATGTGTGTGGACACGTGTGCGTTTCACAAGCGTGTGTGCATGTCACGTGTAGCTTATGCAGCCCCCATCCTCCTTTTTTCCTGTCTCTTCTTTTCCTTTAGCTTCAGAACTTGACCTGATTCCTAATCCCTTCAGGTCCCTCTGAGCTGTGGCATCCGGGAATAAGCACATCCTCTAAGATCCTCTTTTTTTTCCTTCACGGAACATATTCTTAAAAACTCTCCTATTCTCTCTGATGCTTCTTCCTGTCTCTGGAGACTTTTTGAAGGGTTTGCATCAGCATCAAAGCCCTGCCTCCCTTCCCCGCCACGTCAACAGTTGATAAGGCTTTCAGCATCGCATGTTCAGCACTGCAGTGACCGCACGGTCCCCGCAGGGTGTTCCGGGAGAGCGAGGGGCCAGGCCTCCCGAGGGGCGGAAGGGCCAAGCAGTGGATGTGGAGGACGAGGCCAGCAGCCAGGGAGCCTGGGTGGAGCCTGGCTGCAGGCTGGTCTGCCTCCAGTCCGGCCCTGAGAGTCAAGGCAGGGGTCGGACGTGGGCTGTTTTCCAGAGCGGCTCAGGTCCTGGGCCAGCCTGCTCGACCAGCCCCAGGCCTCTGCGGGGATTCGGTTCTGCCGGTAGCCTTACTTCCAACCCGCTCCTCCCTGTTAGCCCATGAAGCAGGGCCAGGTCGCCTCTGTCTCGTGGCGTTGGACAAACTCTTCCGTCAGTCAGGACGGAGCTGGTCTGGGCGAGCAGAAGGGGAGCTCCTCGGGCCAGTCACCCTGTGGGCCGGGGCCTTCTCCCACCTCGGGTTCTCTTGCTGTGGAAAGGTGACAGAACCCTTGACAACTATTTTGGGAAGCAGCCTGACACGTGTCCCTTCTCACTGTGCAGGCTTGTGGACGAGGTCAGGAACCACAGTGCTTAGCTTCTCGTCCTCCTGAAGGGAACAGTTCTCTCCATCCACCCCCCTCTGTCGACACCCTCCGTGGCTCCACGCATCCCTCTCCTGCTCCCTTGATTCTGCCAGGTATTGCCAAGCTCGGGGCGGGTCGTGTTCTGCTGAAGGATCTCATGCAAGTGTAACTATGTACTTGCTTTCAGAAAGTCAGGACCATCTTTTCTACTTACTAATATGCATTTCTTTGGCCACGTTGCATGGCCTGTGGGATTTTAGGTCCCTGACCAGGGATCAAACCCATACCCTTGGGAGCGGAAGCCTGGAGCCCTAACCACTGGACCGCCAGCGAAGTCCCAAGGACATGCCTTTTTGTTCTCTGGTAAGACTCTGTAAGTCAGTGGGAAAGACTCCAATTCAGTTATGGGCAGTTTGCATTTAGTGTATCCAGGTAACTCGTTTTCCCCTACTCTCCCCCGCTACCACCTACCTCCCCATTTCCCAGCTTCTGCTGTCTCTCAGTCAGGGCCAATTATATGTATTTCCAATTTAGGACTCTGTTTCTGTGAGATTTACCTTAAATAGCCTAACTTCATTATATTTGTATAATTCTGCTCTAAGAAATATTCATGGAGTTATTTTTAGTTAGAAGTTGTGTTTTTGCTTTAAAAATTAAGCTTTAACACTTTCCTTCCTTATTTGGGAGGCCCTGATTCTGTTGTAAGAAATCTTGTTTAAAGTCTGTTCCCAGAAGGCGTGCGATAGACATGTGCGTGAATATCTTTCCAAACGTAAGACAGGCACGGACATCAGCCTGTCCCTCACCTGCCTCTGTCATAACTCACACTTTTGATCCAGTTCTCAATCATATTTCCACCTTTATTTCGATTTTCCTGCAAGATTTGACTTCTGCTGTTTGAGTTGCTTTATATGTCTCCCTGTCCTCCAGGGGCCTGTTCTCTATAGCTGGGTTTCCTTAGCTTTATGTCCCCCACTCACTTTGGATTTGGGTTTGGGTTTGGGAATTAGGACTTACTCTCTGGATGGCATTAGCAGTAAAGAACCTGCCTGCTAGTGCAGGAGACCTAAGAGATACGGGTTCCATCCCCGGGTCGGGAAGATTCCCCTGGAGGAGGAAAGGGCAACCCACTCCAGTGTTCGTATTCTTGCCTGGAGAATCCCATGGATGGAGGGGTCTGGTGGGCTACAGACCCCATGGTCGCAAACAGTTGGACGCACTGGGTGACTTAGCCCAGCACTTACTTTCTGCTGGCAGGAAAGCTGTGGCTTGGATCCTCCTTCTGGTAGCCGGGGCCTCCCCACCTCAGCTGCTTGGAGCGGAACACTCTCTTGAGCACGCTCTCCTTCAGGAACCTGGAGATGATCCTCTCTCTCTGGACGTTACTGAACACCTTGCCCTCGGGGAGCCAGCCCAGCTTGTCACACCCGCCGTGGAAGAGGGGGAGCGGGAGGAGCTCGGGAGACACGGCCGTCCTCTGTGGGAGCAATGACAGAGAAAGGAATTGCCGGTTACCTGGAGTCCAGAACGAGAGACCAGCCCACCCTGCAGACCAGCGCCCAGGCCTGCAGCAGCCCCGCTGTGGGAGCAATCGCGCTCATAGCATGCGCCACCCCCCACCCCGGGGCTGCCGGCCCGAAAGGCAACTCGGGGCATCACAGTGAGCGGAGGAGCACGGGCAGGCCGAGGGGGGTCTTCCTGGTCCTTCTTCAAAGGAGATAATACTCGACCCCAGGTTCAGCTTTGAAAGGTAAATGTACCGGTCACCGAAGCGCAGAATTGTAAGTAGGAGGGGTTGGGAACAAGGCTCAAGTGGAGGGGTTTGTGTCCTCAACATCAGCACCGCAGGCTGAGAGCGGTTTGGCCACGGTGAAGGTCACAGCTGGGTTTGGCACCCCGCCTGCCCCGTGGAGACCGTTCACGTCCACCCCCAATGGCATTCCTGCCACCACATCACAATCAGAGCAAAGGGACAAAATCTGACTCCTTGAAGAAGAGGTACCTGTGGCAGGAAACATTTATTCCTCTGAGAGTTTATTTAAAAATAAAAGGTAATCATCGTGGCCTCCTGATTTCAGCCAAGGTCAGTAAACTTCAGATTGCTGGGAAGATTCCAACAGTTGTTATTTAGGGCAAAGAGTAAGAATATATGGGTCAACTCGCAGACTTCGAGAGCCAGCTTATGGCTGCGGGGTGCAGGGGGGCATGGGGGGATGGGTGGGGGGACGGGATAGTTAGGGGGTCTGAGATCATCACGCACATACCACTATATTTGAAATGGACGGGACTTCCTGGGGGTCCAGGGGTTAGGGATCGACCTTGCTGTGCGGGGGAGGTGGGCTCGATCCCTGGTCAGGGAACTAAAATCCCACATGCTGCAGGGCTGAGCCTGCGTGCCACATCGAGAGAGGGGCCTGCACGCCGCAACCAAACCCAACACGGCCACAAATAAACCTCGTCTTAAACATAAAATGGATAACGGACAAGGACCTACTGCATAGCACCTGGGACTCTGCTCCGTGTGATGTGGCAGCCAGGACGGGAGGTGGGGTTTGGGGGAGAACAGACAACGTGTATGTGTGGCTGAGACCTTTTGCTGTCCGCCTGAGGCTATCACTATATTATTTGTTAATTAGCTGTGCCCAAGTACTAAATAAAACGCTAAAAAGAATACACGGGTCAAGTAAAGAACAGGCTTGTGGCTGCCGAGGGAGAGGAGAGTAAGGGAGGAATGGATTGGAGTTGGGGTGAGCAGATGGGAGCTATTAAGCATAGACGGATAGACAAAGTCCTACTGAATAGCGTAGGGAACTATAGTCAACATCCTGTGATAAACCATAATGGAAAAGAATATGAAAAAGAATGTGTGCACACGTGTAACTGAGTCACTCTACTGCAGAAATCAGCACAACACTACAAATCAACTATACTTCAACAGCAAAAATTTAAAGAGAGCATGTAGGTCAATTTATGTGAACTGGAAAAACTCAACTTTAATAGATCCCTTCCTTGGCCTTTGAATGGCTTAAAACATGGTCTGCTCTTCCCTATTTAAGTGAAAGAGGATCTATAGTAACCCAGTCACATCTGCTTGGAAGAGAGAAACTTCTGGCTTCCGGAATTTTCTACCCTCCCCCTCTGCCAGTTCCTTTCTGTCTCCAAAAGCACCTGTGAAATTATGAGACTCACACTCTGTTCCAGGGGTTCTGGTCAGTTCTATACCATACTTAAAAGGTATTTGTATTTAAAGCTCATCTTTCTGTTTACTTCGTAATGTTGTACTTTTTAAATTTGCAAGTTGAAAATTCCAAAGTAGAATTTTGTGTCTCCTGTGCTGGGGACCATGATACCATCATGATTTTCTTATAGTCCTGGCCAAGGGTTTTGAAGTTTGATTAAAAGCTGGCACACAAGGACTCTCCCTAGCAGCCCAGTGGTTAAAACACTGCACTTTCAATGCAGGAGGCGCGCACGGTTCTATATCTGGTTGGGGAACGAGGATCCCCCATGCGGCACAGAGCCACCAAAAAATAGGGGAGAAAAAACAAACAAAAACGCTCCTAGATTTCACCATGTGAAGTTGAAGTGAAGTTGCTGAGTCATGTCCAACTCTTTTCGATCCCATGGACTGTAGCCTACCAACTCCTCCGTCCATGGAATTTTCCAGGCAAGAATACTGCAGTGGGTTGCCACTTCCTTCTCCAGGGGATCTTCCTGACCCAGGGATGGAACCCAGGTGTCCTGCATTGCAGGCAGACGCTTTACCCTCAGAGCCACAAGGGAAGCCCAGCGTTCCCCATGGCTTTCCCTGTTTCTGACCATTTGGCAGTGTGTCTGTCCAGACAGTTCGTGGAATAGACCACCTATGGTGAGCCTGGCTCAGTTGGAGCCTGCCCAGGATTACCTATAAAAGATTTCATTCTTTGCATCTTTGCCAGTTTCTGGGAGTAGTTCTTGGCAACTTCTGTCCTTCTTGGGGGTTCTGCTATCAGGTGTGGTGGTTTAAGATTGTTTAGTTTGCCTGCTTTTGTTATTTTATTTATTTATTTATTTTTATTGAAGTGCAGGTAATTTACAATGTTGTATTAGTTTTAAAGGGCTTCCCAGATGGCACTAGTGACAAAGAACCTGCTTGCCAATGCAGGAGACGTAAGAGATTTGGGTTCCATCCCTGGGCCGGGAAGATCCCCTGGAGGAGGGCAAGGCAACCCACTCCAGTATTCTTGCCTGGAGAGTCCCATGGGCAGAGGAGCCTACGTGTACATCCAAGTGATTCGGTTATACATACACCACACATACACATGCACACACGTTTTCTTTTTTCAGATTCTTTTCCATTCTGTGGAGAGGTTATTGCAAGATACCGAGTACAGTACAGTAGGTCCTTGTTTACCTGTTTGATCTTCCGTCTGCTTTTGGTCCACGACGGGGAATGGCTTCACTGAAGCCAGCGCTGAGCATCTTTTGTTTGCTTTGGTCTTCTCGTGTTAGTCTGGGTAAGAGAATAAGCAGCAGGGGACCTTCTCACCTGGGTTAATCTGGACATGTCCTCAACCGTGGATGCTGACGCTCTTTCCCGGGTTCTGCTTGGAAACCTCGCTGCTGTAGCCACGCTCCCCAGGGCCGGGTTGGTCTGCAGGGCCTTAATTAGATTCACACAAGGTGCTCGGCTTCCACTGGGGGCCGGATGGGAAAATACGACTGAAGTGCACACGCCGGGTCCCCCTCTTCTAGGAAAGCACCCTGCCTTCCTTAGGTATCGTCCATGTCCGGATAGGAAATGGGTTTCTGCCTGAAGTCCCCGTCAGACTCGGGATATCTGTGAAGGGTGAACTTCCTCTGGGTGGGAGGTGTGAGGCCATCGCTCAGAGTTCCAGGCCGAGCTCTGGGCCATTGTGACCCTCAGAACGCTCAGCAGCCAGAGGGCAGAAAACAGGGTCCATGGCGCCTTCCTGGAGATGAGGGAGAGCCTGGGAAGAGCCGCTGCCAGGGCCTCCCCGCCTCCGGCTCTCCTTCCACTCTTGTCCGTAACTCAGAGGGTCATCATGGGGACAGCCAGGAACCACCAAATGGAGCTGAAACTCCCGCTCCTCGAGAAACCTAAGACCCTGAGAAACTACAGCCAGCCTGAGGTTCTCCGTCACACCTTCGAGACTCTGTCCAGCCTTCACAAGTTGCTTCCCAATCGTCTGATGGAGCTGCTCCACTCCTGCAAGAGTGAGGAGGACAAGAAAAAATGTATGTGGGCAGAGGGCGGGTGCCAATTCTTTAGGAAGCCTGCGCTTTATCGTGGTACCCACACCCCTTCTGGAGTCGTGCGTGCGTGCGTATGTGCTAAGTCACTTCAGTCGTGTCCGACTCTTTGCGACCCCATGGACCATAGCCCGCCAGGCTCCTCTGTCCGTGGGATTCTCCAGCAAGAATACTGGAGTGGGTTGCCATGCCCTCCTCCAGGGGATCTTCCCAACCCAGGGATCGAACTGTCTACCTGCATTGCAGGCGGATTCTTTACCACCAGTGCCACCTGGGAAGCCCCCCTGCAGTCATGAGTGAGGAGTCAGTCCTACAGAGCAGGTGTGGTTCGCACCTGAGACCTCAGCCACGTCCATCCTTCGTGCTGTGGGGCCACGTGCTCGGAGCTCACACGCGGTTCACCTACACACTGCCTTTCCTAGATCTGGTTTGAGGCTTAGTGGGATGACTTCCCAGTTAAAGGTCAGGCTTTGAAGTTCATTCCTTGGCTCTGTTTCCTACCCCTCCTTCTTGCTTTTTCCAGGCGTGTACCGGAAAAAACAGGAACACTGTTTTCCCCCGGCCTTACAGGCTTTGCAGGTGTGGAGGTGTGGAGTGGCCTGCCCCTCCTGGACCTGTCAGGGAGGGTGATAACTGGACTGATTTGCAGAATTGGGTGGAGCCTGCCTCCCGTGTTGTCCGCGCTCAGCTGAAGGGCAGAGGTAGATGGTAGCCTCTGGCCCCAGGGGCCTAGGGAGCGAAGTGGCAGCTGCCACACTGATGAAGACACAAGTCCCGGGTGGGAAGGCGGCTATCGGGGTGATGACTTTAGAACACAGTGGCTGGTTTGGCGATTCGTCTTCTGGTGGAGGTGGTTTAGTTGCTCAGTCGTGTCCGATTCTTGCCATCCCATGAACAGTAGCCCGCCAGGCCCCTCTGTCCATGGGATTCTCCAGGCAAGAGTATTGGAGTGGGTTGCCATTTCCTTCTCCAGGGGATCCTCCCAACCCAGGAATCGAACCTGGGTCTCCTGCATCTTGTCTTCTGATTAATCCCTAACCCCTGAACCTACAGTATTGTGAATCAATCCCAAGATCCAAGTTATATTAAAGATTACGTAAAAATCAAGAAAAGTGTAAGCACCTAATAGAATAGACAGACATTGTACACTGGTAATTCACAAGATGAAATGCAAACTGCCAATAGACATGAGAGGTGTTCAAACACTCTGGTAATCAAGGAAGTAACAGAAAACCAAGAAGGGAGTTTCCCTGTGGTCTAGTGGCTAAGACTCCTCCAAGCTCCCAGTGCCGGGGGCCTGGGTTCAGTCCTTGGTCGGGGAACTCGATCCCACATGCCACAGCTGAGAGTTTGCAGGCTGCAGTCAAATATCCCGCTTGCAGCGACAAAGATGCAAGATCTTCCCTGCTGCAGCTGAGACTCAGGGCAGCCAAAGAAAGAAATATTTTTAAAGATAAATCAAGGCGATATTTTTAAGCCATCAGAGTGGTCAAATTTTGTAAGATCAGTAATGATAAACACGTGGGGAAATTAATACCCTCACAATTGATGGTATGTTTTCATTGCCTCAGGCTTTTTCGAAGGTAATCTGAAAGTCTTTGTCAAAGTTTAAAATGCATGTTGCTGGCTTACTGCATAAGCTGAACTCAGTAAAGAGTAAGCAGAGTGTCCTGGGACTGCCAGAATGTAGACCCACAGACGGGGCCGGGGGGTTAAAGCCACAAATGTATGGTCTCATGGCCTGGAGGCTAGAAGTCCAGAGCCAGGGTGCCAGCAGGCTCTGAAGCGGCTGGGAAAGGGCTCTTCCTTGCCTCTTCCCCGTTTCTTGAGTTGGCTGGGACTTCTTGGCGCCCCTTGATTTACAGACGCATCACCCGATTCTCTGCCTCCCTTGTCACAGGTGCGTGTGCACAGGTGACACCCGTCTTCTCCGTGTGCACGTCTGTCTTCTTACAAGGAGAACCACATTGGATTAAGAGCCTGCTCTGCTCCAGAACAGGGCTTCCCAGGTGGTGCCAGTAGTGAAGGACCTGCCTTCCGATGCAGGAGACGTAAGAGACTCGGGTTCAACCCCCGGAGTGGAAATGGCAACCCACTCCAGGATTCTTGCCCGGAGGATCCCCACGGACAGAGGAGCCTGGTGGGCTACAGTCCATGGGGTCACACAGAACGGTACACGGCTGGCTGCGCGCACACACTGCCCAGGATGACCTCGTCTTAACTGCATCTGCGGGTTGTTTCCAAGCGAGGCCACATGCGGGGATCCTGGGGGTTAGGAGTCGCAACAGTCCCCTGCAGTGCAGCGCCTCTGCCTAAAGGAGTCCTCACGTGCCAAAAAGAATGCTTAGCTTTTTCTTATATAGATAAGTTTGTTGTTCATAGTTGGGCATCTGGCGCCACTGAATGTTTTTTTAGAACGTGTGGGCCTAGGACAAAACTGAGACAACAGAGAAATTCACATTTTAACATCCTGTTAGATACACATGTCCTTCAACTTAGCAATTCCACTTCTACTTACTGTCCCAGAGAAATACTGGCCCACCCTGCACACAGACGCAGGAACAAAGGTGTGTGTTGAAACACTGTTTATAAAGGTGAAAAATTCTAAAAGACCTAATCTCATTCCACAACAGAATGGTTAAACAGATACATTCATACTGGAAATATTGTTAAAGTCGTTATTAAAATATCTACAAAACACTGCAGAGTTTTAATAACAATGATTCCATTTTTGCCAAAAGAAGACTGTAAATTCATAGATGGAAACATGTACATAAACGTATAGAAAAGGGTTCTAGAAGGAGACAGGGCAAATTTGGGATGGTGGCAGGATAGTGATGAGAGGAAGGTAAGAGGTTCCTTTGACCATTGTTGACTTGAACTAAAAGGACCGCCCAGTATTTCTCCAGCAAAGATGGGTTTATTCGGTATCCGTGGAGAATTGCCAATCAGCGAACCAGGAGGAAGTCAGCACGTGGACAGAACACTTTTACAGAAGGGAAAGGAAGCTGGGAGCGCAGCAAAAGCAGTAAACAAACTGGCCGAGTCCGCGGGAGAGGAGGGAGGGGCGGGCCTCCGTTCTGCTTGGGCTCCGCTCCAGACACGGGGCCTCCAGAGAGCTGCAGAGAGCGCGGCCTGCGGGCCTCCTGGCTCTGCGGCTGCTGCTCCTTCAGTTTTTACACTCTGCGCACTGCTTCCCTGGAGGCTCAGACCGTGAAGAATCTGCCTGCGACGCGGGAGACCTGGGTTCCATCCCTGGGTCGGGAAGATCCTCTGCAGAAGGGAAAGGCTACCCACTCCAGTTTTCTGGCCTGGAGAAGCCCATGGACAGGGGAGCCTGGCGGGCTACAGTCCACGGGGTCGCAAAGAGTCAGACACGACTGAGCGACTTTCACTCACTATACTTAAGTGGTTTAATTTTATTTTAGTGGAAGTCTTTCCACACATCTTTAATTTTTGTAGTTAAAATTCAATTTTAAAATGGAAAATGCAGGGAGCGTTTATGTGAGGTTGGAGAAGTGGGTTTTGATTTCTCCGTGATATCCCAATTGTATGTTGATTTATAGTCTGTTCTCCTAGCCTTCCAGTGTAGACCCAAATAGGTCCTGGCACACCTTTAGCAGTTGGTGGTGTTCCTGCCGTGTAGACTGCAGCCCACCGAATTGTCAATATTGTGAAATTGCCACAATTGTCAATTGTGAAATCCTGACAACCAAGTAAAGCCTGCACTCTTGCTGCTGGGCGGGGGAGCCCGCGGGAGGCTAGGCGGCCCAGCTGTGCGGTAGTGGGGCCAGGGAACCGAGGCGAGAACCCTGGCCTTCGCCCGCGGGCGGGAGCCCCATGCTCAGGCCTGCTCTTGACTCGCTTGGTGTGATTTTCTGGCCTCTAAGGAGGAAGCGGTTCTCTATCATCATACCGTTTAGTCCACTTAGTCTGCATGAGGCAATGTTCCTGGGGGTCTCTCCCAATTACCCTGCCCGGGAAGGACCCTCAGGGATCCAGCCAGTGGAACAGCGGGGGCTGGGTGAGCTCTGATCTAATTCCGCGTCCGACGCAGGGCCGCCCTGCATGTCTTGAGGTTCAGCTCCTCTTCCTGCAGCAGCTATGTGACAGCTTCTTCTGGATGCACCTGAACGGGTTACAGAGATGCTCGGAGCACGGCCCACAAACTGGCTTTTGCTTCTCAAAGTGTTACCAGTTGGCAAAGAGATAAAAAGCCTGCCCTGCAAGATAACTCAGCTCTGTCACTAGACACCATGCATTTTAACTGACTTCTCTTCTCCCTCCCTCTTTTTTTGGGGGGTTGGGGGAAGGAGATGGTTTTGATGAAGGAAGCGGTGTCCTGGAACACGTTCTGACACAAGTTCTGTCTCACCGCCGACGGGCGATTTGGTTATGGGCCATCCGTGTGAAGCAGCACGTGTGATGTCAGTACAGTGTGGTCACTATCGCTGAAGATAAAAATAATTGCTCACTTACTCTTTGTTTGAGAATCATGGGCAGATCACACCAGCGACCTTCAGCACCTGCTTTCTGCATTCCTTCACTCCTGTCTTGCTGTGCGTCTCTCAGATATCCAGGACCAGGCTAAGGTCTAAATGCTGCTCACTGATATTTTTGGAATGAAGAAATGGCAGAGCCAAATAGCAACTAAGTGGCATGAATAGCCGTTCTCAAACCAATGCCACGCTCCTCTTCCCAAGCAGAGACGGGAAGGAACACCGAGTTACACTGATGCTCCCTGCACCAGGGCTTCCCTGGGGGCTCACAAGGTGAAGAGTCTGCCTGTTGGAGAAGGAAATGGCAACCCACTCCAGTATTCTTGCCTGAAGAAGCCCTTGGACAGAGGAGCCGGGCGGGCTACAGTCCAGGGGTCGCAGAGTCGGACACGACTGAGCAACTGACACAGGAAATGGAGGCGGTACTTGCTGGTACAAGGGTGCACTTCATCTGCTCTCTCGTCTCCTACAGGAAGCAGGGTGGGGCAGGCGGCACCTGGCAGGCAGGATGGGTCTCCAACCCGCCCCCATCCCTTCTGGAAGTCTTAGGGCCCCAGTGCCTGCAACAGCTGGTCTCGGGCAAATAAAAGACAAAGTTTTTTACTGGCAAAAAAAAAAAAAATCTGCCTGTAGTGCAGGAAACCTGGGCTCAATGCCTGGATTGGGAAGATCCCCTGGAAAAGGGAATGGCAACCCACTCCAGTATTCTTGCCTGGAGAATCCCATGGACAGAGGAGCCTGGTGGGCTACAGTCCAGGGAGGTCGCAGAGTTGGAGATGGCTGAGCGACTAACACTAATTTATTCTATTACCAGGTGAGAATTCTGAATTCTCTGGCTTAGAAAGGATCTTGGAAAGACATCAATTTCCAAGAGAGATTAATCTGACCCCCAAACCAAGCAGTATGCCCCTGTGGAGAAGAAAACAAAACAACAACGCCAGTCAGGGGTGGAAGAAGTGCCGCCTGTGGCATAAGAACACAAAGGAGCCTCCAATGTCAACCATAGTTGTCAGGTAGGCGGCCAGCCTTGCCCCAGGCGGGCCTGCTTAGAGATGTCACAGGATGACCACGAGCCCCTGATGCCTTAGCTAAAAAATGACTTGAACTTGTCTCTGGCCTATGTGGTGAGTGTGGAAACAAGTGCTGCTCTGCATAAAACCCGGGAGCCGCCTTTGCACCCCCCGCCGCGCCCAGGGTCTGCGGGAGCGCTCAGAAACGGAGCAGGCGTGTGGGATCCCCGGGGGCCATCGCGTCCCAGGTCAGGGAGCGGACAGCGAGCGGGGCTGGAGTGGGGTTCTAGGGCCCAGCCACTGAGCTGCAGGGCTTTAATGCTGCAGCCAGTCGGGAGGCAGCGGCCCGCCCCACACGGCCAGGACCCAGGATACAACCGCGGGCGGCACAGCCTTGCCTCTAATCCTAGTCCGCCAGATCCCTGCTTTTCACGTAAGCACGGACAGCTATACATTTTCCCGCGCAGCACTGATTTTACTGTATCCCGTAAGTTGTGTCTTTATTCAGTTACAAGGACAGTAAGCTTTCAGATGTGCTTTTTATAAGGGACCATCTTAAATGAGAATGAAGACGGGACAGTACATGAGGAAATAACCACTGATAGGGGGTACTGTGTTCCTGGGAAACGGCCTAATTCTCCACGTCTTTTGGGCAGATGATAGGGGTGGAATGAAACTAGGATTCTAAATGACCCTCTGATCGTCCTGCTCCTTTCTGCCCACTCCCCCTGCCAGGTGGCTGAAAAAGAACATGCGACCCACCGAAGACCTGGCCTCGGTCACGCAGAGGCTGTTGGCGTTTGGGCCGATCGAGTCGGTGACCCTGTGTGGGCGGCAGAGCGCCGTGGTGGTTTTCAAAGACATGGTCTCGGCCTGCAACGCGGTGAACGCGTTCCAGAGCAGGGCGCCGGGGAGCATGTTCCAGTGCGCCTGGCAACAGCCGTTCATGTCGAGGGAGCTGAGGCTGCCCCCGACCAACAGCCAGCGGAAACTCCCCAGGCGCGTCTGACATTTGTCCTTCACCAAGGCTCCAGCACAATACAATCACAGCACGGGTATTTGAGCGCTGAAGGAAGGCACAGCGAGCTTTATTGGGCGCGGGGGCTGACAAGCGTAACCGCGGTATGACGCTTCCCCGGAGGTGCCCGGTGGGGCCGCCGGCATCAGAGCTTCGCCTTCCTGGACAGGAAGCTCGCGATGGCATTCATGCACTCGTCTGACAGCCACCTCTCCCTCAGGACGCTGCTTTCTTCAGCGTTGACTGCGTGCAACTTTTCTTTTTCCTGCTTTCTGATGATCTGCCTGGAAATTCTCAAGGCCTGAAAAATCAAAACCAACAGTTGGCTGAAGAGGTATTCTAAGAGGAGTTGGGATCATTCTAGAATTCTGACGCTTGTGTGGCTCATTGTTCCTTTGATCCTGTGACACCTTATAAGGTAAGACAGGGCTTCTCGAACGTTCGAGTGTGCACATGTCACCGTGGCAGGTGTGGGCGGGGCGTGTGACCACACACTTCTGGCTCCAGGGCTGCGTTCTGAGCAGCGAGGACATGAGGCAGTCACTCACCGGTGGGCGCATGAAGAAGTGCAAGCATCCCCGTGAAGCTCACCTGTCTGCCTGCTCACCTGGGCTCCAGGCCAGAAGTCCCAGCAGAGGCGGCCGATCAGCCTCCTCAGTCACGGCCAGGAGGAACTGCCCTTCTGTCTCCACATCCCAGGAGTGGAGCAGCCACTGGGTAAGTTTCGTACTTCTCGTGTTATTACGGTTTCTTTTAATGTCAGATTTACATGTGCTCAGAGCAAGCGAATGTGTCTTTTTTTTTTAAATTGTCTATTTAAGGCAAACAGTTCTTGCAAGTAAAAAACAAACAAACAAACAAAAAAAGCCCGAATACTAACATTTGGGGGGAGCTTTGAATATGCTTTCAGCCTGGCCCAAACTTCTTTCTGAAAAGTGCCATCGGGAAAAACTTCGGTAACGAGTCCTCGGGCACATGCTTCCTGGGCCGTTAACTTCTTCCCAAAAAGGAGCATCTCGGCCGCCTGGAATGAAAAGCAAGGTTAGGATGCGACTGCAGTGAAGAAAGGCTCAGTGACTCAGAGTGAGCTGCTCTTGGCAGACACGCGGACACGTCCTTTGGTCTCTGAGACCACCAGTATTTCTCATCAGGGGAGAAACTGGTGGCCCCCAGGCAGCGGTGTGCAGGCTGTGTGCTGGGACTGTCAGGCTCTCGAGCAGGCTTGTGGAGGTTGCTGCTTCTGTGTGTGTCTACGTGGGGAGCCAAGAGCCGGGACCCGGAGCAGAAATGCCAGGTACTGGGTCTACGACAAACGGAAGCTATGATTTCTTGTTTTGTACACGATTAACAATTATAAAAAAACAACAACAGCAGCAGCAAATGAAAACTCATGGTCACAGAAAATGACAACCGACTTTTAGAAACAGCGACGGTCAGAAGTCCCTTCCCTGGACATTCACACAGTGGTCAAGCTCTGACCTGCCCAGGGACTGAGATGAGCTCTAATGAACTGGAGGAAAGTGACAAAGACTAACGTTCAGGCTCTAAGAAAACCGGGGTCACTGAGTGGGCATCTATCTCTCCCTTTGCCATTGTTCTTCACAGACTGTTCCACAGCCAAATGCTCAAAGCCTTTGAGCTGGGTCTGCCTGACTTTTCAAAGTTCAGATCTGTGTAACCTTCAGGAAATGTGACGGAAGAAAGAGATTTAAAAGGGGAATTCTTCGGTGGCCTAGTGGTTAGGATTCTAGGCTTTCTCTGTCATGTCCCAGGTTCAATCCCTGCTCGGGAAACTGAGATCCCGCAAGCCGTGTGGCATGGCCAGAAAAAAAAAGATTTAAAAAACCCACATTTTCCTCATGGAAACCCAACAGGCAGAGGCTCCATTCCGCTCCCCTCTCAGATCTCAGGGGTCTGCCAAGCCCCCCCCCTCGGCGCCCGTCCCGTAGCGCTCCCCTCGGGGTCCTGCACACACACGGTGGGCACCGAGGTTTCCACCGCCGCAGGGACAGACCGGAGCGGCCACCGGCCCCTGGGTGCCCACCCTGCCCCGTGGAGCAGGCTGGAGGGAAGGCTGGAGAGGCGCAGGCGCAGCCGGCTCAGTGGGACCCGCGGTCTGCGGAGGGCAGCCGGAGCGCCTCCCCTCGGCCGGCCCCGCTCCGTGACCCTCTCGGCTCTGTGGAGCAGACCGCCTGCTTCTCTGTGTCGCCCCTATTACGAGGAAAGAAGAGGGAGTACAGGGCGGCTTCTGGAGTGGAGAGGCTTATTAACGTTTGTTTTTAAGGCTTCCGAGACCCACCTTGCTTGAGCCCATTATCTTGGGAAAAGTGTAAGAGGAACAGCCTTCCGGACTCTGGCCCAGGTGACTGAACGGGGTGTGAAAGGTTGCCTTTTCAGAGAGAAAACGAGAAAAGAAAATCATCTTTTCACATGTGACTTCACAGACACCGCTCTGTTTACGTCCTCCTTACGATACCGAACTGAAGCACTTTCCTGTGTTACACAGCAGACCTCACCCCACTGGGCCTTGCTTTCCTGTGCTTCAGACACTGCTTTTTTCTGTTTTTAAAAAATAAATTGAAGGTCTGTGGCACCTCTGTATCAAGCAGGTCTATCCCTGCCATTTTCCCAATAGTGCTATTTTTAAATTAAAATGTTTTTAAAACAGCTTTTAAAACAGCTCATGGTTTTTTAGACATAATGCTACTTGCACACTCAACAGACTACACTGTAAACGTCACTTCTCGAAGCACTGGGAAATCAAAAAATTCCTGTGACTCACTTTATTGTGATATTTGCTTTATCCCAGTGGTCCTGAAGTGGACCCACAGTATCTTCAAAGTGTGCCCATATACACACAAATTGACTCTCTGAACATACACAGTTTGATGAGTTTTACACAAATGTATACAGTTACGTAGCCACTACCAAAATCAAGATATAGAATATTTCTGCTGCCCGTAGTGGTGAAGAACCTGCCTGCAGGAGACATAAGAGACAAAAGCTCAATCCCTGCGTTGGGAAGATCCCCTGGAGAAGGGAATGGCAACCCACCCCAGCATTCTTGCCTGGGAAGCCCCACGGACAGAGGAGCCTGGCGGCTACGGTCCACGGGGCTGCAGAGTCAGACATGAGCGAGCAACGAAACAATGATTGATGACGCTGAGCATCTTCTCACGTGTTTGTCAGCTATTTAATGCCTTCTTTGGTGAAATAACTTGCAATACTTTGTCCACTATTTTTAAGTTGGCTTGGTTATCTTTTTATTATTGAGCTGGAGGAGTTCTTTACATGGTCCATTTATGAGTCCTTTTCTTAACGGTGTCTTTCTCATATTTTTAAGAGCCATTTATACTTTCTTCTCTGTGAGCTATGTTATTCCTCTCCACCTTGCGTCTCTATATTATGCTGTTGATCCATCACTTTATTGATTCATTTTTAAAACTATACTGGCGAGGTTAGCGTCTATTGTTTTCTCACCTGTCTTGATTTTGCCCCAGAGGTTTTTGATTGGCTTTAAATACCGAAACTACTTTAATATTGGTTATCTAGACTACACAGTCAGTCAGTTATTTGACTACAATAACTGTGTGTTTTCCGTGTTTTCCTAGATGTCAGAAATATTGTGTTTCTTGATGAATGAAAAGTTCTCAGGAAATTAACTTATAATTGACAATTCTGTAAACAGCATATTTAGACTTTATTTTCCATAATCAAGATATGGTTCAGTTTTTTTTCAATGAATGTTGTTAGAAGATAAAAACATATGATGTGTGATACATACAAATCAAACTAATAAAAGTATAAAGTAAACAGTTATTAAAGTCACCTGCCTTCTCTTTTGCCCCCAAAAGAAAGCTTTTCGGAGAAAACGTGCTGAGAAGGAAGGAACATAATCAGAAAACAAAGGAGCCAAGCTTGCTAAGCGCCACAGACAGGTGAGTGGAAAGCTACAGACAGGCAGCATTTAACCTGCTCATAAACATTATCATAAGCAACACTGTGCTGACTCTCAGAAATAAGAGCAATAGAGGTGGAGATGGTCAGATGCTGGCGTCAGGCTGCCTGGTGACCCCGGAGCTTCTTGACCTCTGTGCTGGGGTTTTCTCATCTGTGAAATGGGGTGACAGCCCCTGCCTCCCGGGGCCGTTACTGTGGGCGCCTACTGAATACATGTGATGTGCGTCAGCAGAGTGTCTCCTCTGTACTGAGCACTCAGTGACCTACTATTGTTATGACTTCCACCTTTCTATGAGCTCAAAGGGGCAATGTGCTGTTTGCTGATGGAGACACTAATGGGCAGGCATGACCTACTGCCTATAGTAAAGAATAATTGCTTATATGGGTTAAACGTTAACCCACATTTAATATGGTATGCATTCAGGAAGCCAGGAAGGAGTAGATCCTATAAAAGGAATTCCTCTCCACAGCTTCTTTCTTCTGTATCTTTCTCTGATCTGAAATTGAACCTTGGTGTAATTCAGTTGGGTGATCTCAGCAATGGTCACTATTTCAAATATCTTAACTGTGGGCCCAATCTGTCAGCATATACAATACACACACATTTCCCTCTGATTTCAATTTTAATTTAAGTTTATCATAAGACGGAGTCCTAGGAATCTTTAAAAAGATGATGCCCAAGACAATAATTTGGAATCTAGTGGGACAGTAAGATGCAAATACGACACCATGTGGCTTTCAAGACCTAGCGAATGAGACCGCCAAGTTCAGGTCAGAAGCGTCTGCTCTGACCCTGCTCAAAGCAGGTCAACTGATGGGTCATTGGACACACAGAATGGGACTGAAGATTGAATTTCTGCCTTTGAGCAGAAAGTCCCACCTACAAAGGTTAGGTAGCCAAGCGTCTATAATTGCACTTGCTATTTTTACGGGGAAATTATTAACAAGTATTAGATTTGACAATATGCCCAATTGGATTGAAAGGAATCCAGTCAAAGATGGAGCAGGGAGTAAAGGACCCTTATAAACGGCCCTGTTACTGGAGAAAGTACCTCCGACAAAACCAGGAATCTCTTCAGTGGCAAAAACCAAGTGTTCCCTGCACGGATGTGTGTACACCGGCAAGTTTCACTGCCACAAAAGCAAGAGTCACTCGAAGACTCTGATAACCCTAAGAGGTGGTGATTAGCTCTACAGGAAAAGTTCTAGGGTCAAGGTGCTAAGATAAATGTTTATCACATTTTTGTTTCTAAGGAAAAAAAAACTAGACATGCTAGGGTTCCCAGTGTCAGGGACTGGTTAAATTAGGTAAGCTAAATAACCCAAATGTTAGCACTGCTTATCTCTGAGTGGGGAGAGGAGTGATTTTATTTTTTAAAAATATTTAGCATTTGTCTATCTGGCCACAGCAGGTTTAGTGGTGGCACGCAGGTTCGGCACTGTGGCATGCAAACTCCTGGTTGGCACGTGGGGTCCAGTTCCCTGACCAGGGGCTGGACCCGGGCCCCCGGCGCTGGGAGCGTGGGGTCTTAGCCACTGGACCAGTAGGGAAGTCCCAAGGAAAGATTTTTAAATTAATTCTTCTCCTTGTACTTTTCCATAGTTTCCAAATTTTTATTTTCTACTATGACATACATCACTACCATAGTAGGAACTGAAGTGAAAATCTATATAATTCAATGGTGAGCATGAGGCAGTAACTTCTCTGAGCTTTGGTTTTCTTATCTGCTAAGCAGGGAATGAAAGTAGATAGCACCTGAAAGTCCTTTCTTAGTCTAGATTTCTAGATTCCAGGGTTCATTCACACTGAAAAAAACGATCAAATAAACCACCTACATAACCTTCAAAGCTGCTCTTTTTTTTTTACTCCTGCTTGCAAGTCTGAAGGTCTCCTGACTATTTTAGAGCAAAGTTGAATAACTCTTGTGTCACATGATGAGAATAAATAGAACCAAAAGGGCTGGGACAATGTTCATGACAACACTGGTGTTCAGGAAGATTCAGGTTAACAGTGAAGGAAGAATCAAACGTGTCACGGCAGACTAATTCTTTGGAAAAATGTAACTTTCATCCCTTCTACCCCCGACCACACACCCTCTGCTTACTACCGGCAACGACAAAGCAGCGTTTGGAGGGGTGTGTTTTCACCAGCCTGACATCACTCGCTTCTCAAGGGGACTTACCCGGTCGGTCGCGTACACGACGTCAAACAGCCCGAGGATGGTGACGGAGATCCCCACGGCTGGCCCGTTGACCACGGCCACCAGAGGCTTCGGGAAATCTATTAAACAGTCGACGAAATCCCTGCAGACACGGAAATAGACAAGTGTGTTGAGCTGTTCCCAAGCAGCATCACCGAGGTACAAGCAGGATCGGGGTCTGGAACGTGCTTCTCTGGGCGGGCTGGGGACGTGTCCACCTCCGGGCACCTCCCTGGCCTGCGGCCCGATTCACCCGGGCCCCATCTGCAGGGCACAGGAAGGGTGCCCGCAGGAGCGCGGGGGCCAGCCTCGGTCCAGATCCTGCATCCTGGGCATTTGGTCAGGGCCGTGAGCCAGCGGCCAACTCGGAGTCAGCATGGGCCGCGAGGTCCCAGCACACTGGGCAGCAGAAGCGGCTGGGCAGCAGAGCGCTGGGCATCAGGGCCCGTCTCCAGTCCCCTGGGCGCAGCGGTCCCGGCAGCAAGGCCTCCCCCAGCCCGGGAGACGGCGCTGGGCTCCTCCACCTCGGTACGGCGGTGGCGGCGCTGCTGCTAAGTTGTGACCGACTGCCTGGATGCGGGAGAACTGAGACCGCACCGGGAGGTGGCTGACTGGCCCTCCAGCCGGCTCCCGTGAGGAGCGCTCAGGGGAACGGGAGCCTCTGCAAGGAACCAGACGCCCTTCCAGACAGCGGCCTGACAAGTAGGCTTGTCGGAAGTCACAGCCGACCACAGGGAACAAGTGTTTCTGTTTTCTGCAACCTTAGACCCCCTGAGGAATGGGGCGAGCCCCTGGGTCAGACGGCCGCTCACCTCAGGAGGACCTCCCCGCTCCTGGCCATCTCCTCCAGCCCACCGGCGGACAGATGCGTGAAGTTGGTCAGGTCGTTCCCGCTGCAGTAGTAGTCCCCGCTGCCTGCGAACACAAGCCACGGGCGCGCCACTCACGCACCCGCCGCTCCCGGGCACCTCCCGGGCACCAGGCTCGGCAAGCCGTGAGCACGCGGGGGTGCCCGCCCTCACAGCCGGACTGGGGCGGCCGGACGCTGCGTTAAAGACATGCTGACAAACGCAGGCAACGCGGCTGGGATAGGAAGGGACGCCACGACGGGAGAGCCGGCAGAGGGGGCTCTGGTCTCATCTGGGGGCTCAGGGAGGGGCTCTGCCGAGGCGGGCACAACTGCAGTGAGACCTGAATGGCTGGGGTGGGGGCATGGGAACAGGCTGGGGGCTGTTCTCCGGAGCTGACAGCGCCCGGGAAGGCTCTGGGGCCGGTCGCCCAGCACTCGATGGGCCCAGAGAGGCACCATCAGAAAATAACAGGCGCCTTCAGTTTGGTCTGCTCAGTCCAAGACAGATAAGTTAGAAGGGAAAGCAAAATTCAGGGAATCTATATAACATGAATTAGAAAGGCAAGTCTAATCGACATAATTCTAACTCTACACCTTAAAAATCAACAGTGAACTTACTTTTAGTTCTTAACATTTTTTAAAAATTTAAACATTTATTGTCACTACTTGGCTAGGCCCAGTGGCGTATGCGATCTTTTTCCCCGACCAGGGATCACATCTATGTCCCTTACATTGGGAGCAGAGACTGGACCCCCAGGGATGTCCCTGAAGTTACTTTTTAAGGTTTCTGGATGATATTAAAAAAATGGCCATTTTCTGCTTCTTAATATTCAAGGTAGAGATTTTAATATATATCTAGTATACATGAAATTGTAACAGATTCTTAAAAAATTAGAAAAACTGATCATCTCTAATTATAAGTTAGGAATTGATAACAGAAATGCAAAACAAACAAAAATCCTTTCTAAAACTGAACGACCTATTATTACAACGCTTAGATAAAAATAATAAGAAACCAAAAGTGAAGGGTATATAGAAAATAACTATAGAACAAGCATGTGTGCTAAGTCACATCGGACTCTTTGTGACCTTTTGGACTGTAGCCCACCAGGCTCCTCTGTCTATGGAGAGTCTCCAGGCAGGAACACCGCAATGTGTTGCCATGCCCTCCTCCAGGGGATCTTCCTAATCCAGGGGTCAAACCCACATCTCTTGTGTCTCCTGCATTGGCAGGCAAATTCTTTACCTTAGTGCCACCTGGGAAGCCCAGAGAATAAGCACTATTTATCAGTACTTAATCTTTCAGTTTTCTTACTTGTAAAATACCAGTAATAACGGGGCCTAATCTCATAGGGTTATTGCAAGAAAGCTTAGAAGAGTTAAGAATTAAGAAAGCTACCAAACATTGAAATGCTTAGCCCAGTGCTCGGCAAACAGAAAGTATGATACAAACGTTAGCCATTATGAGCAGGTATTATGAAACTCAGCGGTTTCACTTCTACAACATGGATATCTTTGCACCTTCTCTGAAAGATGTATGTCTGAGGATATTCCTTGCAGCATGATTTTAATAGCAAAAGACTAAGTACAATCCACCTGTTCACTGATAGAGGAATGACGAGATAAACTGTGGAGTCCTGAAACGTTCATACTTTGCAATCCTGCAGAGGAAAACTTAGGTGTGCCGGTGCTAATTAATTGAGAACAAATGTTCAGGACATGCGGTTAGGAGAGAAAGGTGGGTACAGTGTGTGTATTATGTGCTTCCTTTTCTGTTTACAGAAGGAGGGGTGGGGAGAATCTCACACACACACACACACGGGCAGTTTCTAGAAGGCTCAAGGAAAGCTGAGGTTTTTTTGGACACAGGGCTTGGGTTTTTAGTTTAGTTATATGCCATTTCATAGTCTGTGGGTTTTTAAAAGATGATGTGCCTGCATTGTATGTTTAGTTTAAAAAATGTTAACTGAAAAATCAGAAACCATTCTTCTCCTGTACCCAGCCAATGCTGCCTCTGGACTGTTCCTGTCGTCTTCCTTCTCCTAGGCGTACACGTGGGATGCCAGAGCATCTTTGGTCGTCTCCGCTTCACACTTTCTCATTAGCTGTTAGGTATCTTTCTCCTTACCTCTCTCTCTCTCTTTTTTTTTTTTTTACTAAAAGTGCTCTGATATCTCTACATAATATTATATACTTTACAAATTTCAATGAAAATTAAAATCACTCCTAGGAATTCCCTGGTGGTCCAGTGGTTAGGACTCTGTACTTTCACTACCAAGGACAGGAGTTTAATCTCTGATTGGGGAACTAAGATCCCACCAGCCATGTGGTGCAGCCAAAAAAGAATATAAATAAAATAAAAAGACTCCTGCTTCTGCCACGCCAACACAGAGTAGTAGCTCCCACCTCCCAAGTGCCTGTGTGAGCCCTGCCTTTCACTGCCTCATGTCACCATCTTCACCACTCTGTGGGGTTAGGAAGACAGTGTCATCTCCATTTAGGAAGCAGAATTCACCCCCAAGTGATAAGAAGTGAAGCTGGGATTTAAACTCAAGTTGGTCTGAGTCTAGAACCTTAGCCTTCGCCGCTACATGCATGCAAAGCCCCTACCAAATTCAATCATCAAGTTCTCATCAGCCCAGGCCCACCAGCATCCATATTTCCCAATTACTATCACAGTGCTGATATAATTGCTAATGTCTTATTTCTTAAACATTTTTCTATATGGTTAGTTTCTACAGTTACACTTTTTAATGCTTTTGCAATACAGTCTACAGTATGTTCTATCACGTGGTTTATTATGGTTATTTAGAGTATTTAGAATGTGTTGGGAGATTCCTGTGTCACAGTGTGTGAACATTTTACATATTGTCAAATGCCATGTTTTTAAAAGGTAACTAACCCTTTTAAAAGTCATTTATGCTGCTGTCAGCAAGGGGCATTTATTCTACCATAACCTTGTCAAAATTCAGTATAGCATGAGATTTTGTTAATTCAGACAAGCATTAATATAAAATGGTATCATCATTTTTATTTGTGTTCTTGCTTATTAATCTGGTTGCATTTTGCTTGTTTCTTTGATGCCAAGACTTTCTCACACAAACTGTCTATTCATTTTACTTACCAATTTATCTAACAGGTTTAGCACTTTTCTTACCAAATTGTACCTGCTTTTTACATGATAGAGATATCAATCCTATGTCTTACCATATTGTTTATGTATTAAGAATTAGGGTATCTCAGCACTAGAAAAGATGATAGAGCTTATTTACTCAATTCCCTTTCTAGGAGAAAATCCTCCCCCGCCCCCAAACAGAAATTTAATTAAGAAATCCAAGGAAATGTCTTACCTGTTAAAACAGTTATGGTTGACTCATCCTTGCTTGCAGCCTGAAGTGCAGCTATGATGTCATGATACATCTGCGTGAAAGAGGAAAGACGAGGAAAGGAGAAAACTGAAAATGATCATCCCTACCCAGGGGGTCCTCTCCACGTCGATCTGCAAGCCCGCTCTCTTCAAACTGCCAAGTGCTTACCTCGGCTGTATTTACAGAACCCAAAAGGATGCTGACACGCTACGGTTTTTGAGTGAAACAGAGGAAGCCAAGTAAAGCAGGACAGACTCCCGGGGCAGACAGCGTTACCTGAGTGGTGAGAGCGTTCTTTTTGGTTGGACGGTTCAGCCTGATGGTGGTGATGCCGTCTTCGGAGGTCACCACCAGGCTGTTGCCTTCTGGTGGCTTCCTGTCTGCTGCAGGTGTCTCTGGGCTGGGGGACTCGGAGGAGGCGCTCAGACTGGACACCAAGTCCACGTACTTCTGTCGGGCAGCTTCCTAATGAGAGATGGTGATTTCAGCCCAGAGTTAATGAACAAGCATTTTGAGACACTTCCTGTCCTAATCAGTACACCTGATGGCAATGAAGGTCTTGCTTGGATATAGGGACCTCTATCCCCAGAAGGCTCATCTTAATGTCTTAAATAGGGAGAAATACCCACCTCCCTTAGGAGCACAGTAAGTGAAATAAAAGCAGGATGGGAAGTCCATGTACCTTGGACAGACTGCCAAGAGCATTCCATGCATCCCATTTGGTCTTATTGATAAAGTCCAGCATACCTGGTTTGGGCACGTTACAGGGTCCTTCAGTGGCCTATGAAAGGAGAGGGGCAGTTACTGGTCAAACGCACATGCAAACTGGAGCCTTGAACAGCTGAGATCCATACAGTGCACACTGGCATGACTGTGCCTTCCCCTCCCAGGTAGTTTCACAAGGAACAGGGACTGATCTGAACTCTCCTGTCCCTTGCCCTCTGTTTGATGCTGCTGCTAAAAATGTACAAACAGGAGAAAGGAGACTGGAGAGCCAAAATATGCTATGATGGGTTATCAGCCCCTAAAATAAGTGATAACTGCCTGCGTACGAACATAATGCAAGATCAGGGTTTGGGGAAATGCTTTCAAAAAACGAATCGTGTTAGGTTTATATAATGATGGTTCAAGCAAACAATCTTCAAAGGTAGCTAGCCAACAAACATTTAGAAAACACATACATCCTGAAAGCTCATTCAGAGGGACTAACCCCCACCAGTTCCTCCCAGGTCTGTGGTGGTGGGCGTCCGGTAAGTGAGCAACAGAGTTGCACCTGGAGGGAGGCAGGGGCAGGGGTGGGGGGTGGGTACCAGAGCCACTGGCCCTTAGTAAGGACACTTAATTGAAGGACATTGTGGGGGGGGGGGTGCAGTGAGTGTTTTGAGATTAAAATATATATATACATGCACTATTCTTTTCAGAAATGGCAACTTAAAACTCCATTTAATAACCATGCCTTTGATTTTCATAATATAACTAGCTAAAAGAGAAGAGAAGAGAGAGGCTTTGGAAGACAAAGACAGTAAAGGAGGCTAAGATGGTCCAAAGAAAAAGACTTATTTCTCAAGAGTTAGCCATCGGGGAAGCTAGGGGCAGCACGGGCCCCAAGACTGCCCCCACGCCTGACACACGGTGTGAGCCCAGGGGCTCCCGGAAGCGCTCTCTGACCGGGCAGTGACCCGGAGGACGGCTCACAGGACACAGTCCCCTCGGGTCACAGTCACTGCAGCGGCGGGGCGGGGGCGGGGGACAGGGACGCAGATCAGCAAGGGAGGGGCCGCGGGTGGAGCCCGGGAGAGGTGAGTGTGCCCACCCCCGCACCGGGCACTGCAGAGTCAGGACTGTGTACTCGCCCGGCCCCCAGACTGACGTGTGACACGCACAGAGCCCCGCTCACCAGGGAAGCTCATCCCAGCCTCCTCGGTGTTCGGAGCTTTCCCTGGGGCTCCGCCGCTCCAGTGAGTCTCTGTAACTGCAGCCTCCGCCCCCAGCCCCACTCTCACTACCTGGGTGGCCGGTCCCCTCTAAATCCCATCCTTAGACTCTCCAGGTGAACAAAGACAGTCTATCATGCTTGGCATTTCAAGGGCTTAGAAACTACCTCCCAGAACCCAAGGGCGAGGGTCAGACCCCTGTGGGGCATGGTTAAGTTCTGTAATATACACACTAGTATCAAAGGAAGAGGGGCTCACAGGAGGAGAAAAAGAGGACACAGGAGCCCAGAGGGTCTGACTTTCTGGATAGTTTTCAGACACTGTAACTGAAAACTCAAGTTTTGAAATGTTTTTATAAAATTTTTCAAATATACATGAGTAGAATATTATAATGAACCTCCAATATTCAGCTCCCAAATTCAATTAACTCTCATTTTTGCTATATTTGCTTCAACCATCCTTTTCTTTTCTATTTTGCTTAATTTTTTAGGGAATGGCAAACACCACACCATTTTTCACTCCATGGACTTAGTATGCACTCCTAAAAAAAAAAAAATCACTTTTTCTTATATAACCATGATGCTATTAAGAATAGTTCCTAGGTGCCATCTAATACTCAATCCCTATTCAAATTTCCCCAACTGTCTCAAGGCCACTCTGACGGCTGACTGTTGGTGGTTGTTTTGGTTGTTGTATCTTTGAAGTCTCTTTTACTCCGGACTGATCCTAAGGAATGACTGTTTGCCTTAACAGCACTCTGAAATCTAATCTAACAAACTCTCCTGCATACACTCTTTAGAGGAAAGGCAGTAACGCACCCTAAAAGCACTCAGGCTGCCTTTTCAGAGCAACAGACAGCATGTCTGTCTGAGGACCCATGTGCTCAAGATGTTTCTCTCTCAAAGACGCGAGGCGTTTACCTGCTTGTAGAGTGCGTAGAGTTTCAGCTTCACTTCATTGCCCGGATCCTCCTTCAGGAGCTTCACCTGGCTCACTGCGTCGTTAAAGTCCTTCTGGCTGGTTCGCATGGTGGGGCTGCCCGCGTGCAGCCCAAGGGCTGGGACCTGGGTGGGGCTGCAAACCGGCACACGCCTTCCTAACCGTTTCCAGCTCCTCCACGCGAAAATGCTACGTTTCTCTAGCAATACTTTCCTTGCACTTGCCCCAGCCACCGGCTGCGAATGGTTAGTGGTTTCCAAACCGGTCCCTAGATAAGAAATCCAGACAGAAGCTAACTTCCATAAGGAAGGCCCTCAGAGAGAAAAGCACCAGAGGCTGAGGAGCCCAGAATGTTGCCACAGGCAGGAAGTCAATGGGAGGCCTGGGAGGAGGTGCCCAGCAGGAGCGCTAGGGGCGGGCCCTGAGGGCTGCCAAGCCTCTAGCGCAGCTGAAGTCGTTTTAACCCACTTGATGACGGCAAAGAGCAAAAAAACATTATTTTTACAAGCAAAGTTGATTTATGAGGGACCTCCCTGGTGGTCTCCTAGCTAAGACGCTGCGCTCCCAATGGAGGGAGCCTGGGTCTGATCCCTAGTCAGGACGCCAGATCCTACATGCTCCAAGGCCTGGTGCAGCTAAAAACAAACAAAAAACCAGTGAAGCAACTACATGGAAGGGACATTCAGACTGTAAATGCCCAGAGTTTGTGGGGATGATCCGAGAGTTTCAGCCTGGGTAAAGCTCCCCTCTGCTGATCTAAATAACTCTCCAAGACCTTGGGGCACTAGTTCCTGCCGTGGTGCACGGGACTCTCATCAGTAGTGGTAAAAGCTAAACGGGGACACCGAGGAATCCGCCTCTCTGGCCACCCCAGCGAACTGCTCCAGCATCGAGAGACTTGTATTGTGAGGCTGGCAGCTGGATATTGTCTCTTGGAAACTCAAAGGCACTCAGTCGTGTCTGACACTTTGTACAGTCCATGGAATTCTTCGGGCCACAACACTGGAGTGGGTAGCCTTTCCCTTCTCCAGGGGATCTTCACAACCCACGGACCTAACCCAGGTCTTGTGCATTGTAGGTAGATTCTTTTACCAGCTGAGCCACAAGGGAAGCCCAGCTCTTGGATGGCAAAGTCAAAACTCCTGGCTTATTAAGAGACACTATCCTGTATACTTCTGGCTTGTGAAATGATTATAATTCCTGCCATGAACCCATGTCAAATAAAACACTGACAAGACAATCTCAACCTCTGGGCATAATGGCAACCCACTCCAGTATTCTTGCCCAGAGAATCCACGGACAGAGGAGCCTAGAGGGCCACAATCAATGGGGTCGCAAAGAGTCGGACACGACTGAGCGCACATGCACCCCACAGACAAAATAAGGATACTGAGACCACGGAGGTAAAGTATACAGGAAGAATTCAGCGTCCCAAGAACCAGAAACAGCCTCTGCGGTTGAACCTGCGTCCCTCTAGAACCAAGTTTCCCTACTGATTTCGTGAGTCGTCCTTCTGCCCACAATTCCGTCCCCTTTCTTATCCCCTCTGACCTCAATCCTGGGCGAAGCAAGCATTACGCCACCAGTCAGATGACTAAAACTGCTGCTACTGATGCTATCGTTCTTGTACTAAAACTGCCATTCTAAACAGATCCCGAAACGTGCAAACTCAGGCTATTTCTCCAGAGCAGCATGAGCCCACTGACCTCCAAGCCACGGACCACCTGGCCAGAGAGTCATAAACCAGAGACATCTAATGACTACTGTCAACAGAGGATAACCAACTTCAGCTTCTCTGCTCTTCCCCCTTCTCCGCCCCAAAAAACCCCCGAGGGGGTTTCAGCGGCTTCTTCTCCCACTCCCTCGGTGTCCTGCAATAAATCCTTACTTTGCTGCCAGCTCCTGCTGCTGGAACTTGGTCTTCTGCTCCAAGGGCACAAGAACCTTTTGCTCTAGGATGTAGTCACTGATTAATAAAGTATAAACTTTTATCAGGTCAATGCCTAACTCTCTGTCCAGCAAACAC